ATTATTTTATATTATTTTATATTTCAAACAATAACGATTCGAACACGAACGAACGCATCACTGTTTGTGTTTGGTTCGTTTAACTAACCGAACGAAAAAAAATTGTTCGTGTTTGTCTCGTTTACTTATCGAACGAATCGAACACGAACTCATTAACGAACCGAACACGAACTGTTCGCGAACAACGAGCTTTTTTGACAGCCCTACTAAGGGTTATTTGGTATTGAAGTTCCCTGTTAATAGTCTGGATTTATTAAATCTGGCTAAACAAAAAATAAACGAATAAACGAACAATCAAATAAATAACATAAATTTCATGAAATTTATGATTTAAAATAGGATTTAATATATACAATAAGAATATGAATCTAATAAATTTAAATTTACTAAATCCTTCATGCACCCAAATGCCCCCTAAAATTTTTATCTTTACAAACATTATATAAAAAATAGTAGTCTTTATTATATTTTAATAATCATATTCATCTTCGCATCCATAAGTGAAGTGTCGTATGTCTAAAAATAAAACTTTAGGAATGAGATCGGAAAATCCATAGGAGCTGTACGCTGCCTATGTAATTTTCCTTAAAAAATTTTACTATTTGTGTTTGACACGTTTATATATCTAGCTCAAAAAATTTGTTGATGTTCGACTCTTTTGCTTAGCGAGCTGAAAAGGAGTTGTTTGGATATATATACATTATTTTGAGTCGAACTTAACCGAACAAAATTTTGTTTGTGTTCGACACATTTATATTGAGCGTAAAAATATTATTTGTGTTCGACTCATTTGCTTAATAGACAATTTGAACACGTACTACTTAACGAGTCAAACAAGAGTCATTTTTAGTTTTTTTTTTTATATTTTTTATTATGATTATAATAGATAATGAAAATTTTCAAATTTTAGTATGTTAAAATTAGCAAGCTCTTAAAAAGATTTTTTTTAAAAATATTAAATAAATTTTACAAATCAATCATCTAAAATATTAAATATAATATTTTAATTATTTAAAATTTTCACTCAAAACTTTCACTAGTCAGTAAGAGATGACCGTTATAATGAAAATATTGATTAAAATACTATATTTAAAACTGATATGATTAAAATGTTATATTCATATTTTGAATGGTTTGTATCTTAATAACCTAAATATACAATCACTTGAAATACCATATAATCACCGACTAATATTAATTATATATTCTATTTTAAAAATTAATATTAATGATATTTTTTGGTATTAAAAGATTTCGGTGTTATACATTTATAAAATTTAATTCTCAAATATGTAAATATATAAAAATTATATGATACGTGTAGAAATCTCCCTATTTCTTATATTTTTGAGCATCTAAGAAAAAATATCAATAATTTTTTTTTTTTTTAGCTAAATAGCTATCAAATTGTTTTAACCTGGAAGGATTTTCTTTTTTTAAATTGCAATTTTTATGAATTTCTTATTTATGTTTCTTTTTAAATAAAAGTTATTATTGTCTGGCTTAACCATACGAAGTTAAAATTAGATTAATTGTAGTTAGTATAACTGCTTAACAAATTTCAGTTAAAAGCTTCTAACAATTTGTAGCTGTTCTTCTCAAAACTATGTCTAAAACTACTTAATTGGCAGTGCAGCAAGAGAGATTTCATTCCCCATTATTTAAGTTTCTTTCCTTCTCTCTCACTAAAATAATATTACGCGTACAATCAACGCTATTATCCAGACGACAGACGTAATATTTCCTCCTCTCTCGTGTTTCAGAGTAAACTCGGTCTGAATCACCGAGCAGCTCGAACTTCCTGAACAATCGCGGCAGAACCCGACATAAAAAAATAGAGATGGAGATTGTTTAATTTAGCTCAGCTTCATGGCTTGATATGATTTAATGGCCTGGCCTAGCAAGATTGACCCCAACATTCTCTTGGTTTACAACTTCATAAAAAATGTTTATAGAGATTAATGAAAAATTGGAGACAAATAATTTGTGTTCTAGTTTTCATCTCAAACTATGATTAACTGCAATAGTATTTCAATCATGCTATACATTCATTTTTGGGGCATTTACATACAACCAACACAACTTATGTATTTGCATATCTACATCTGGCTAAAGTGAATGTAAAGTTCCATACATACCACAATTTTTTTTTCTGGATTTACATAACTAACCTTGCCTCTTCAAATATCTTATCAACCTTATGTAATTATCTCATTTAAATGCATAATCCTCTTCTGACCCGGTCCATAAATCCTCTCAGATACACTGAAAAGGGTCTTATTTAGTTTGTATAGTGTTCTGATAAACAACTACAGAATTTAAATGTTAATATCAAATTTTTAAGATGCATCATCCAATCAAACAAACCCATAAATTAAAAAATAAGAAAATTTACATACATACCAGGCAATTCCTATATATTTATATGTCTAACACCAACAATTTGATGCCATAAACCTATGCAAAAGAGCATGTATTTCACTTTTAAATAGATAGTGGTAGTGATATTAAAAATGAGAGTTCTACATATGTGAATATGGAAATTTAGGGGTTGGATATGTAAACACATAAGAATGGCGAAACATGCATGTAAATGCCACTTAAAAACCAATACTTTATTAACATACATACACACGCATATAATAAAAAGCAGCCTGGCAGAAAACATTCCTCAAGCTGACAAATTACAGAGAACTTGGCTTTTACATAAAAGAGGCATTTACATGCATATCCACTAATTTCCATGTATTTAGAAATCTAACAAATAAATTTTATTCTTTTTACATTTATACCACCCAAATCTTATATATAACATCAAAAATACTCCCCATAACCTTTTAAAAGTGAAATACATACATAAGTAAGGTGACATGAATACATAAAAAATTGAAGTTTAGGCATTAGATCCGTAAATACAAAGAAAATGGGAGGAGGGCAATCATGTAAAAGCTGGTTTTAAGTGAATTGTGGCCTTGGGACAGATTGCCAACCTGCACATAATTGAAGAACTTCCTTGAGTGCCACAGATGCTGGCTCCATTGTCCATGTTGGATAGTGCTCATCCGGCTTGAAAACTGACTCAACACCAACACCCTCCAGAAGACAAGGCTGGGAACCATTCAGAAACAGATCTCCTTCTGATCTTATCCAGCCTGCCCTCACCTCCTCTTTATCTGCAGCCTGCAGGAAGAAGACAACAAGAGGAAATCACATATGTACGACTGATTTTTTTTATGTATTTACATATCAAACGCATACAATTTGATAAATGGGAATTTATGCATGTGCTGCAAGATTCTTATTTGTTTACATACTTATGAAAAATAGTTATGGATTACACATATAAATGTTAAAATGTTAAAGTTTAGGTGGTACAGATGTAAATACATAAGAATTTTGTGGCATGTTTGACATGTAATGTAATATCTAATAACATTAGTATCAACTAGAGTTCAATAAAACACATGTATTGACTCCATGGGAAATGTTGATAAAAAAATTAAAAGTAAATTAAAAAAAAATCAATGATGTGATTATTATGAAATATTATTATTTTTTAATTAATATATCCTACTTTAGAATATACAGAAACAGGAACTTAAAATGAGAAACTAAAAAAGCTAACAAGCATATATATCAAATGAAGATTTTATTGAGTTTTTAAGGTGATAATTGTTAAATATTAAATAAATATAATTGCAAACATAAATAAACAAACATGACAATGTTCAAGTTTGTTCAGTAAAGCATTAAGCTGAACCAGCGAAACAAAAATAGCAGATTATCCTAAAAAAGAATTGATTGATTATTATTGATTTCATATTCATTAAAATCAAATATAAAACTTTATTTTAATTATCCAAACACACTACCATCTTATTTATTATTATTATTTTTACACCTTTTCCCTAAATGATTTCACCTAATCAGAATAAAAAATCTGCAAATGGTAGACGCTGAGAAGCCAAGGACCATTTGGGATCACTTTTATTTTTTATTTCCTATTTATCTTATTTTGTTTATGTTTTGATTTGAAACAAAATATTTTTAATATGTTTGATTAAAATATGATTGTCTTTTAAAACACTCGAAAGTCTAAGTGTTTTAAAAAACATTTTTATTTATTTTTAGAAACAAAAAAATTAAAAAATGTTAAAAAACGCATTAAGAGGTCGTTTGAGATTACCCTAAACCCTAAACATAAACAAAACAAAATAAAAACAAAAAAATAATAACAACAACAACAATAGAGCTTTATCCTACTAAGTGGGGGGTTAGCTAAATGAATCATTTTTCTCCATTGTGTACTATTGAGTGTCCTACTTTCATTTAATTCTAATAAATTAATATCATTTTTTATATAATAAACCCAAGTCTTTCTTAACACAAGTTGAATCAAAAATATCAACTCTCCTGGATCATCAAATGGTGATTGTTTAATGTGACCACAACCGCTAAGAATTAAATGAAATCTTGTCTGCCACTGGTGCAACATCAACCCTTTCACGGAAAATAAAAAGTAAAAAATAAAAATTAAAAAAATTAAAAAATAGAAGTGATCCCAAACAGCCCCTCGGATGTCAGATGAGTTATTCAAGTACAGTCAAATAAATTCTCTCACATTTCAGGCAACCTCAACATCTTTGCATGGTCAAAAATATCGAAGAATTTCTTCATACAATGACACCACTAAAATTATAATAATTCCTCTGTTCTTCCATCTTTCATATGAAGAATCTGGGAGGTAGACAACTAACAATTTGGTAAAAAAAAACAAATTTATTAATTGCAGATTTCTATTTTTCTTTCAAAAAACTTCAAAAATCAATGAGCATACAACGTCATGCACACAAAAAATAAAAACAGTGTGCAACATAATAAGTTCACTAACTACTGTAAAATCACAATCTGGAAGTTTAAATGAAGGAGAATGAGAGGTACCTTTTCAGGCATGTATTTAAATACAGTCTTTTTCTCTCCAGCTTCATATATATTGCACTGAGAGAGAACCTGAAAAATAATTGTTTGCTAAATTTTAGTTCAAAATAAATAAATAAATTTACATATGTAGCACGCAAGTTTTATGTATTTACATATCTCACACCTAAACTTCCATATTTACATGGATAGCACTGGTGTTTAAACATATGCATGAAAAAATGCGCTTCACTTTTAAAAAGTGACCATAGTGTTGTTTTTAATGTTATATTAAATATTTGAGTGTCATGTGTGTAAATATGAAAGTTTAGGTGTGAGATATAAAAAATACATAAGAATTATGCAAATGTCCAACAATAAAGAAAAAAAGAAAATATCTTAAAATGCTTCAAACAGACCTGTGCTTCCACACTAGCGCATACTGCATATATACCCCAATTTCTTGTATAATTATTGTAGAGGTGAACTCTCCCAAATCTAAGACGAGGGTGTCTCTGCCTAGTTCCATCGAAAAAACAGTGATGTATTGTCACCCGGATACATCTATCAGTAATATGGCTGCTATCAGCCCCAATAAGCATTGTTTTATCATGCATTGCAAAGTGGCATCTGTGCAAAGACAAACTCAACAGGTCATGAAGAGTTTGAAATAAATAAAGAAATTTATGAAGAGTCAAACGGGACTCCCATGCTATTTATGTTTGGTAGAGGAATTTACTTTAATTGATTATGAAAATCTTTCGATAGTATCAAAAAGAGAAAAAGAAAAATACACTGAGGAATGTTTGGTTTGCGGTCACGGCTGACTTAACAAAGCTAAAGCATCGAATGAGTTTCTATGAGTTATTGCAAACCACTGCTCCCTTTTTATGATTTAAAAAATTCTTGAATAATGCTTAAATAACAAAATCAAAACCCTCCAAAAAGATGGCGGTGGTCAATACTGCAGTTTAAACTTCCTCTCCACACTAACGAACTCAATATTTTTCATCAATATGCTTGATCTAACACTCCTTAATAGAATCTTGTGGCAAAATGGAAAAAGGTCCGCATGACTGATGCCGTTCATTCCTTAAGAGGCATCTCTTCCTCATCACATCTACTGAGTAGGGGTGTAAATGAGTTGAACCAGGATTTTCGATAACCCTAGTCACGCAACCATAGAATGTTAAGCGTGGAGGCAAGATTTATAGCTTATTATTTATATTAAAAGAATAATTTAAATAGAAATTAATATATTTGTATTCTATTTTTTAAATCAATAATTTTAATTGATTATAAATCTTTGTACTAATTATTTTGAGCCAAAATGAGCCGAACACCAGCCGTTTATATATCGAGCACAAAAAGATTATTCATGTTCGACTCGTTTGCTCAACAAACGAATCAAACACAAGCCGCTTAACGAGTCGAGCACAAGCTGTTTACGAACAAGGAGCCGTTTTGATAGCCCTACATCTGAACACACTTTTAAAACAATATTTCTCATCAACAGATTATCTTCTTCAACCACAAACAATCGCTCTCCATATCATTTGCTTCCTAATCTCTCCATCTTACTCCCACATATGCAAATTTGATTGCATTGATTTTGCTTGGTTCCAAACATACTCTGCATCCAATTAAATTCCAACTCAGCCGCGTGTGTCTTCAATGGATATGCCTCCAGCTCCAAAGAGCGCTCAAACCATATAACAAACAAAGAATATATATTCCATCATGATGTCTTAAATGAACAAGTACACCCTTACCAAACTAAAAACAACCAAGCAATCCAACCCAATCCCATCAGACAAACAAACTCTTACTCTTGTTCCCATAACTAGCATTCCCTCTTCACCAAACAATTAGCTCCACTTTAGAATCCAGAAACAAAGCTTTCAACCCTTGATTATCAACCATTAACTTGCCTCACTCCAACTCCGCAAGACCATCTACTACATCACCTCACTTTACTTTTAATACCTCAGCCAACTCACCATCACCAACAATAGTAAACATAATTGTACTCTCCCCAAGGCAGACCAGACTCGAAGCTTGACATATGAAGCCCATAGATGTACTTGTCCACTAATAAATGCACTTCCTTAAAGATAGGTTGCTAACCTCAATGAGCTGATCCTCTTTTAGAGGAGCTGATGATGGAATAAATTATGAATTATGTTATTCAAGTCAAAATAGTTGCTCAAAAGAGAAAACAATAAAAAATTATGAATCACAAGGATTATAATACTTGAAGGAAAAAAACACACCTAATTCTTATGCATTTACATATCTCACACCAAAACCTTCATACTTACATGGCAAACATCCTCCATATGTATGAAAAGGTGGATTTTACTGTGGAGAAGTGTAATTAATGCTGTTATTTTAATGTGATTGGAAAGAATTTGGTTTTTGACCTGTAAAAATGAAGGTTTAGGTGCGAGATACTTAAATGCATTAGAATTGGGTGCTACTTATGTAAAGTCCCAAAAAAAAATAAATAAATAAATAAAACTCATTTCACCTCGAGATAGTGATGTCAGTGCTCTCTCGTGTGATATCAATCAAACCATCATCATAATCACGCAGGCTGCATCGATCAATCCAAATATGTCTAGACTTAGGCTTTATCTGAATCCCATCAACATCATGACCTCTACCACCTTCAAACTCCATATTGCACACAATAACATGTTCGCATTCCTTCAGCTGCAAGCCCTTTCCTGTAAGCTTAACCCTCTGCCCCCGCCCATCAATGGTCTTGTAAGACGACACCCTCAAGTAAGACGACAAGTGAATCGTCCCCGACACTTCAAATACGATCCAAAGTGGCTCTTTTTTCCGACATCCCTCACGCAGGGACCCGTGGCCGTCATCTGCAACAAAGGAAGAAGAAGATGGTGACTAAGGATTTGTTGGGTTTGATGCTATTAGAAGAAATGAAAATGAGATAAAGATTATTGCTTTAGACAGAAGTTGAACAGGGAATAATCAACATAAAAATATCGTTAAAATTCCCAAACAATCCAACTGCTTACTAATTACAATGGAACCAGACACCTAACATGAAATTGTGAGGCAAAATGCATCTTTATTCTCCCAATCCCTTCGAATCAAGGAAAACATAAATTAAATGTTCCAATGCTGCGAATTTAACAAATTGGTTCTCAGGACTCGATTTCATTTTCTTCACTCTTCTTCAATCCAAACAGAACCCAACAAAGAATGATTTGAACCCTAAATGTGTTGTAAGCGTGAACGCAATACCTGCCAAGGTGGTGACGCAGTAGACCGATCCATGGAGTCCGCCGATGGCGTGGCGGCCGAAACCCTCAGCTTGTCCAGCGAGGGCTCGGAGGCTATCGTCTACGCGAGCATACGGAAGCGCCATTGTTGCAACAGCGCCGACGCCTTTCTGCTGGTTAGGAACGGCTGGATTTGGGGCTAGAGGAGGAGGAGGAGATGGAGCGGCGTTTGAAGGAACTCTTTTGCGCGCAGCTGAAGAAAAGCAACCTCCCATACAAGGCCGCGCGCGGTGTGGAGCTGCGGCGAGCTGCAAGGTAGGGTTCGTCGGGATTCGGAGATCAGATCTTTGAAATTGGATGAATGAGGAGATGAGTTGGCGGAGCGGAAGAGGAAGACATATTGGAGGGGCGACACGTAGAAGGCTGGAGGCGGTCCGGTTCATGTCGCGCGGCCGACACAATAGGGCTTACAGTTACAATTTGGGCCAGATAATTGGGCCTAATACGATCCGGTCCACCTAGGGAATAGCTCTGACAGGCATGCGGGGTTTAGCGTGAACGGGCACGCACTAGACTTATTCTACATGAATTTAGAAAATTATGAATTTAATATGAAAAATTATAAAGATAATATAAAACGTAAAAGAATTTAAAGTTCATATCTTAGTTCATTTTTGCTGAATTTAAAATTCACCCAATTTGAATGAATTTTATTTACAAATTAAAATACTATCTGTTAGTCGATTTTGCCGACTGTCATCGCCAGCGCTAACTGCAACTGCCGCCAATCGCTTATATGTCATCGCTCACCACTCTTGACAGCCTCTGATAGCCACTTGCCGCCACCGCCAACATTAGCCTGTCAACTCTAGCATTATCACAAGCATCCATCGCCCCCGCTTCTGTCATCAGTATGCAACCACTGTCGACACCACAAGAAACTAACCCTCCGCTGCCACCACAAGCGGGTGTCAGCCTCCACCACTGTCATTGTTGGCCGTCTGCCACCGTCGCCGCCACCAAAATAAATAATATTTTTTTTGAAATGTATTTTCTTAAATCTATTTCAATCTAAACAAAAAAATATTTAAAGTCATTTATTTATTTTCCAGTAAAGCAAAAAATTCTAAATTATTTCAATTACGTTGCAATTAGAGTTTCTGCACAATTTTTATATTGTATTTCATTTTCAACAAATCAAACATATTCTAAATGTTAGATATGACTCATGTACCAGATAAATGACAGATGTTAGAGCAGAACAGAGTGAGCCGGCAGAGTGAAGCGAGCGAGCGTCGCAAAGCTTGCGAGCGGAGATCTATTGATGAGATATCATGTTATATTCACATTCTTGACACCCAATAATGCTCGATGACATCTATTTACGAGATACTATGTCATAATCACACTCTGCTCATAAGCTTTTAGAAAGCTCTGCATTCAGTCTCTAAAGGGCAATTTTGTAATCACATAATGTATGTCAGAATTATATATATATTGTATTGTAACCCTAAAGGGGATTGTACTCTTTTTTGTGAAATCTAAAGAAACCGCCGCTCTGCTCCCTTGGAAGTAGGCAAATTGTCAAACCTTTTTAAATCTTGGTGCTTTCTTCTTGATTTGTGTCGATTCTTGCGTTTAGTTTGCCCTAATTCCTCAACACTAAATTATTATGACTTGTGTGGTTGAGCCTTTTGCTTATATAAAAAAATATATTTAAAGCCTATTTTAAAAAAATATTATTTTAAAATTGCTATAGTTAAAGTTGATAATATCTTCAAGATAATTTTTTTTTTTTTTTTTTTGCTTTTTCAGATTTAAAAGTTTTTTACGAGTTATTTCTGTGTAATTTTATAAAATTATCCATCTAGCGATGTACCAAAATTTAATTACATATTAGTGTTTTACCCATCATTAGAAAAAGAAATCCAAATAATAATAAAAATAAGATGAAGGGTCAACATGCAAAATTTGAATGGATATGATGCTCATTTTTCTACGGCATGTCTAAAATCTTTAATTAATTTCCTGCTAAAAATTTGTCAAAATTATAATAATTTATTGTTTTACTTGCTTAATGAGTGGGAGGCCTCTTGCAAACTCATTATATGAAGTTTATTAGGGGTGTTAACGAGCCGAACACGAGCGAGGCTTGGCTGGCTCGTGTTCGTCTCGTTTATATTTCGAGCTCAAGAAGTGTGTTTGTGTTCGGCTCTTTGTGAGCCCCGAGAGGAACACGAGCCGTTCACGAACAAGGAGTCGTTTTGACAACTCTAATCATGTAACCGAAAGATGTTAAAGATTGGGGCAAGATTTAAAATATCATTTGAATTTAATTTAATAATTTTTATTCTATTTTTTTTGATTAATACTTTTAATTGATTATAAATTTTTGTAGCCTTGTAGTCAATTAAATTTTTTAAAAATATATAACTCATTAGTAGTATTTCGAGCCAAAACGAGCCGAACACGAACGAAAAAGTATTTTGAGTCAAAAAAAATATTAGTAACAAATATTTGTTAGTTAGTTTAGCGAACAAGCAGAACACGAGCTTCTTAACAGTCGAACACGAGTTGTTCGCGAACAACGAGCAGTTCTGACAGCCCTAAAGTTGATGGCCGAAAAACCTCTCTCAGTAGAGGTAGAGAAGTTTGTGTCGAATCACATAAGTCACACTGTGTTTGATTGTTTGTTTGTTGAGTTAATTTGTTTTTCGTATTGTTTGACGTAAGAGAGGAGGCATGTTTAAAAAGGGTTAGAAGAAGAGAGCCGGTGTATTCCTTAGACATAGATACTCATTTCCTCCCACCAACCTCTTTCGTAAGAATGAAAGAGATGATCCGAAAGATGATAGAGAGAAAGAAAGAGAACCTTAGAGAGCGAGAGAATCGCCACTCCCTAAATACATAAATAGGAAAAAATTAATCCAAATAGCATGAAATCCATCTATGGTGTCTCCATAAAAAAATGATAGTTATTACGACATATGTCAACACTTCAACATTACTCCTTCCTTCAACTGTGTGTTAGGGTCCGTTTGGGGCAGCTTATAAGTGCGGGCGGAGTTTTCAAATCGCCGTCGTACCGTTTGGTTCGCGTGTTTCGCCAGCTTATCCGATTGTGTTTGGGTTTTACACTAAACACAGGTCGCGGGTCGACCCCTGCAGCCGGCCCGTGGGCAGCGTTTCAAGCTGCCCCAAACGGACCCTAAATCTTCAAAATCACTGGCTGGGAGAATTAAGAGAATTGCATGTGGAGCGTGTCTTGACTCTTAGGAAAGCGACAACTTAATTTGAAGAGACACTCTGGCGAGTCAATCCGCTCAACATTAAAAAGACGAGTTTGCATACATACAACATAATTTATGCATTTACATAGCTAAAACCTAAAGTTACATATATATATATATGCATAACATTTAATTTTTTAATATCACGTCGAATATATCACTATTACTTAATTATTATAAATAAAAAAAATTATGCATAAATTTTTAATTTCAATATACAAAAAATATAAATATAAATATAAAATCTTAAAAATTAGATATTTAAATACATTATAATTGTGCGATATGGATGCATGTAATATATTTTTTTCAAGCACATATTTTGATAAGATTTACAAAATACAAAGGATGTACGAGTAAATATAAAATTATCATCTTGAATTTAACGACGCACCAATAGAAAGGCCCGATGACCTTTGATGTTTGGTTGATGGAGAAAGAGATCAATAATACATAAATGGGGCATTTACATGCATACCACCTAAATCTTATACATTTACATATCTAACACCTACAAATTTCTCTTTATATTTATACCATCCAAAAGTTTCACATCACATCAAAAACAGCATAAATTTAAATTTAAAGAAATGAAATGCATCTCTTCATGCAAAAAAAAATGAAATTTAGGAGTTAGATATGTAAATACCAAGAATTTGAGTGATGTGCATGTAAATCTTCTATAAAAAACAGGCCACAAGCGCAACTTTAGTTTATAGATCAAAACTTAGATGTCCAAATCATTAAATTTTGAATCTGGTTTTATATATAAAAAATGATAGTGAGAGGGGTAGGGTTGACATTAGTTTATGTTTTGTGATGGGCGCACTCTAATGCTACTAGTGGCTTACAAAATAGTGGTCATGATAATCCTTAATTTTTATATAAAGTTTAGTAAAAATCGATGATAATCGAACATTAAAGAAAATGAAATTAAATTCATAATAGAATCTCACTTGAAGCAACTAGGGGTGTAAGTTATAAGTAGCTCATGAACCGGGTTTGATGGGCTAACAAGACAAGCATAAGCCAGCCCAGGCACGACTCGTGAGCTGACTCGTTTAAAAAAGATTAATAAAAAATTACTAGAGATATATTAAAACTTAATTGTTTTTTCTTTAAGTTAGCAAGAGCGTTTGACATTTTAAATTTTATATAAAACAAATTCTTATTAAATATCGCCTGCATGCTTATTTTTTTTATAGTTTTATTATAACGCTAATTTAAATTAGTGTTTTTTTCTCTTTTATACTAAACAAACAGGCTCCTAAGCCGACTCAAATTTGACTTGTTTACACCCCTAGATTATGAGATCAACACCGTGAACGGGTAACAAGATAGAAAAGGAAGTCGCAATGAGGAAAAAATACCACCAACCGTCACATCGCCTGCCAATTTTGTGCATGAAGACGAGGTAGCCGGTGGTTGGCATTTGGATGTGCGGCGTCTGGATACAATATTTCAATGAGGAATCGGTATATAAGGGCGTAATCAACCTTTTTTTTTAGGGGGACAAGTTGTCCTCCTCGACCCAATATGGGAGGGGCTATGACAACGAAGGATAAAAAATGATATTTTAGAATATATAACAATAAAATGGGTGATGATAATGAACGGCAAAATAATATTTCAAGAGAGGTAAAACTGAAATTTCAATAGAGACAAAAAGCTAAAGTGCAATTCAATAAAAATAAAAATTTGAATTTAAGAGAGAACAATTGCCCCCGGACACTTTCCGGGTCTCCCATGATGCTATAAAGATGAAACATACATAAATGTGATTCACATCTACAAAATTGTGGAGGAGGACAAAGAAAGCAGCAAGCGACACTCATCAGCAACATGGTGAGCCAATTTAAATGTTGGGTGTAATTTGTCTTATTTATAAATTTGAGTTTTATATGTATGTGAATTCCTTTATGAAATTTTATGGGAATCATTAAATTGCCCAAATTTAACACTATACCAATCTTATTAATCTATATCATATATCCACTTAATATAATATTCTGGGCTAATTGATAGGAAATACAATCTCTATGTTCAGCCTTTGAATTGGACCTGGCCATGATATATATATATATATATATATAACTTTTTCGTTATTTAAAATTTACCAGCTTAAGGTAATTTGGTTTTTA